AAAAAAAAAAAAAAAAAGAGGAGTGAAAATACAGAAGGGTTGCATTTACACACACTTTGATTCATATGCCCATATTGAATTGGTCGTGAGTATTGCCTAAGAAAAGACTGGACTTAGTCTCAAAGTGTTAACTATTAAGAGACCAGCAAACATGAAAATGAGCAATCATTTAAAGATGATGTAGATGCAACGCAACTTCGGAAAGTGACATGAACATGTAACAACACAATCTTTATCATTTGTTGTGAATGGAGATTTGATTTTTTGAAAAAGTTAATAAAGAAATAATTGTTTATAAATTTTTTAATTTTGATATAAACGATTTATCTTTTGAAAAAGTTAATAAAGACATGTCATGACATCTTAATTTGATAGATGATGAATTTACTTTTGACTAAACTAAAATGATTGATTCAAGATATACATATATAAGGTGAGGGGAAAATGAGAAATTAAAGAGCTACTTTATGCTGTCTCCCCACAAACTATAATATAGTCTAGGAAAAGAACTCGAAATGGTCAATTGGGTAATGAATTTTTGAGTGGTAGGCTTTAAGGGCAATAAGAGAGGTAGGATTTTCAGTCTAAGAATTCTATGATTCTCAATGTTCCAGCTCCAGCTTCTTAGGATGACACCAAAAAAGACCAGAATCAGCACTCTTTTCTGGGCCTTTTTGTCATCAGTCTTTTCAATTTTCTATGATTATGATCGATGTGTGAGGAATCCTGGTTTGCAAAATTGTTTTTAGGAGATTATATTCTTGACATGGCACCCCTGTACTTTAAAATTCTGGAAATTATAATGACCACAGGATTAATTTACCTTCCCAAAATCCCTCCAGGATACTTGTCCTTTTCTTTGAAAAGCCAAAACCTTGATTCGTGGAACCAAATCAACAATAAGTTTGCTCCTCATAAAGAATTTCATAAAATTGTTTAATTTATTTCTAAATCCATGACTCAGCTCCTTCCATGGCATTAACACATAATGCAATGGCATATATGAGATGGGAAAATGGTAAGTACAAGCTCCTGTGTTTGGAGCAATGGCTGAGACCCTAGCTTACAGTGTTTGTCGAATGCCTAAACTGGAAAAGCAACCTAAACATAACACCAGAAGCATGTAAGACAATGATATTATTCACTTTGCTTGATGAACATGCTTGAAAACAATGCTAAAATCAGTTATGCTAGAAAGGAAAAATCAAAGAAATTTGCTGAACAAAAGAGGGGAGGGAAAGAGCATAAGTATGAGTTACATACTAAAATACCTGCCTAATTTAAATATAGAAGCGCAAACCTGGGTTTATTAGAGGACTGTATATCCATCTCTAATGCAACTCTTCCCTTATGAAAAAGGACAAAATACTATACAACAGAAACTGTGAAAATTGTACAAGGGAAAAAGATAGTAGATCAGCTACCTGTAGCAATCATGTTTCATACACAAGGGACATGAACTTCTGATCAGGTTAGACAGGTAATGAGAGCACAGGGTTTTATATAGATACATGTGACATGCTGATTTATCATCCCATTGGCTCACCAGATTAGACATTGCATTCTCCAACTCAATACTTCCAGTCCTTTGGTAGATATATTTCACCTGTAAAAATGAGAAACATTTCAACTCATAATCATTGGAGGTAAACAAGGTTAGCCTTCCTTAAATACTTGTATTCAATTACTGATCAGTCTGACATATCTCAAGTGCTTTACGAATTCTGAAGAAACTAGTGAATCCAAGAAGCAGCTTTACATTTCCTTTCTTGGACAGAAATCTTAAGTCAAATAGAATTTTTAGTAAGCATTTTCAGTCATTAGGCAGAAGTAGTTTTTGTCACAAACTTCTTTACTTCAACAATGTGAGTGTGAAAATTTCTTGCCAAATGCTTGATACTGATAGAATACTTACCCAGTTTGAGAAAGGCGCTTCCAATTCATTATTTGGTGAGACTGAGGGTGCCTCTGCAAGTAAGATGAACTAGCTCCAACGCCATTTTCATCCCCTACGAACTGCTCTGAATAACTAGAGGATGAAGGAGACCAAACTGGAACTACTCCTCCATCCCTCTCTCTTCTGCTACTACTAGAAGATTCTGCTGTGGAATCTTCAGCATTTCCCACCGCCATTGCTAAATTAATCTGTGGCAAAGTGTTGTTGGTCTGAATTGTTTGTGTAATCACTTGGTTTAATATGCCTTGTCCTGGTTCTTGATTTATATTTACATTTCTTGGAACTTCTGCTCTGCTCTCGTCTGCTAAATTTCTAAGATCTGAAGAAGTTTCTTCCTCTTCAACTCTCAAAAAAGAAGAAGTAATGCTAGGGACCATTTGATCTTCATATCGCCTAATAGTGGTTGGAATTGGAGGGTTATTTCCTACTGGTTCACGGATTTCTTCCATTTGTATGTCTTGGGGGAAGGCAATTGGTGCTGATTCAGATGAGTCTCCTAGGCCTTCTTCAGTGCCGTTTTCAATGGCTGCTCTTGAAGCTGCTTCTAGCTGCCACATTTTTGAAAGTGCTTCTTGCAACCTGGCTTTTGCAGCATTTATTCCTACAATAGGGAGAGGGTAATTTGATCCAAGCTCAATTCCAGCAGCTTGAAGTAAGGATTCTGGAGCATCCCATGGGTGGTGTATCCATTCGGTTGGTAGTCTTGCAAGTTCAGGAAGCCACCGTCGGACATACTCTCCATTTGGGTCAAATTTGTAACCCTCAAACTGAAAAAAAACTTCAACTGAATAAGAACACTTCTACTGAAGACCACCCAAGAAAATTTTGAATAGATAGAAATGGATACATTGAAGTTTCCATACTTAAATTGCATTCTAGAATCTTTATAGATGTCATCACACTTCTGAGAACTGAATGCATATAGCTTTGATGGTTACAAAAACTTTTAATTGCAAGAAAATTTTCAACTAACTAAAATTTCTGCAGTACACAAACTACAGTTTTTTCTCTTGCAACATTTTCAAATTAAGGTATGCAAGTATTACTGAGAATGGGAACTAGCAAACAGATCCGTGCTAGCCAGACAACTGGAATGCAATAAATAATACCAAATTTCTAGAATCTTGAATTGATATAAATCTATATCCGTATGAGGACTTGGATGACATGCAACCTGAAGGTCATGCAGGAGTGTATTTACTGCTAACATTCCTTTATACGGGCAGAAAAGTTTTTTGACATGAAAAGGAGTATCTACTAAAAGAAGGAGCCAGAAATAAGGCAGTGAAGGATGTGCAATGTGAAAAAGAAAAACATATCGATTCCATCATTACAGTGGATTTGTGGGTGGATTTGCGTTCATCTCAGAGGTCAACTAATAGAATCAAATCACATGTGTACTAACAAAATGTTCACTTGTACCTGTGGATTATCTATGCGATCAAACTCACGGCCATCAGGGAGAGTACCAGATATATATTGCCAACCAAGAGCATCACTCTCTAAATCTGCATCCAATAGGGTATCCCAAAAATACTTCATTCCCCATCTCCACGGAAGCTGTAGAACCTTTACAAAGAAACTGGCAACCACCACTCGTATCCGATCATGTAGCCAGCCAGTGGCCCACAACTCTCTCATTCCAGCATCTACTAGTGGATACCCAGTTCTACCTTGTCTCCAGGCCTTGAAATAGTCCTCATCTACCACCCAAGGAAAAAACTTAAGGTGCCCAAGAAGAGGTCTTTCAAGACTGTGAGGATGGTTAAAGCTCATGTATCTTGAGTATTCCCGAAGACCAATTGACTTGAGAAACAAGTTCACACTCTCTTCACCAGCCTTGTTCCCTTCATTGGCCCATAGAACCTGCTTGATGCGGACAAGATGAAAGACTTTTCTCACACTTACCTCCCCAAAGTGCAAGTGAGGTGAGAGAAATGAGGTTGTGGCACTGTCTGCCTTCCTTCGATTCTTAGAGTACTCAATTAAAGGACCATTAATGAATGTCGTCAGAGTTCTATCAGCATTGCTCCAGCCAGGTGACCATGCTCGAGCAAGAAGTGCATTGCTTCCCTTCTCTGATTCATCTTCAAACACCAATGTGTCTGAAGGACATCTTGATACATCACCTGAAACAGAGAGATAATGCTTAGAAGACAGTGGATACAGGTCAGTCATGTAAACTGGTCTAGACTAGAGATCCTTGTACAAGAAGGAACACAGACTAAATACGCATAGAGAAATCGAGAAATGAAAACGAAAAAAGATACCAATCCTAAAAGGCTTCAAATAGATAAGCCTGACTTCCCAATTCTTCTATTGTTGAAAGTGAGGGAGTGAGTTCATTAAGGTGTACTGTCATGGAAATTCACTCGCTAATATAAACAATAAACTTGCCAATACAAAATACAGTTCCACAAAGAGCACAAAATTCTGTACAACTTGCATGGAAAGAAAAAGACCAATCTCTGTTCCCTTCTCAGGACTGGAGAATGCATGTTTTATGTTTGTTGGCATAAGGGAAACTATGCTGATTTTACCATTCATTAATTATTTTTTGGCATTCAGAAGAGCTAACAATAAGGGTACTGAAGGAGATTAAAGGGTCAAGAAATGAAATGAAATGGGTCTAACCTGAAATTATCCTCTTAGGTGGAAGAAGTGGAGCCTCTGGATCATATGGCATGCTAAGGCATCTCTCCCAGAAAGCACCAAAGGTTGTGAAAGGGCAGCCTTCGGCATCATTCACATCCCAAGGTTCATAAAGCAAGTCAGCATTAAAGGAACGCACAGCTACTCCATGAGCAGTTAATACTTGCTTTGCTCGGTGATCCCTAACCAGTGACAAAGGATCTGAAAAGCAGAAAATTGCCACTAAATGCTGAGATACTGAATCGTTTATCTTCGTTTTCCTAAATCATACTAGGAAACAAAAGGAGCATGCAACAGGAACCCCAAGTGCCATATAAAGTCTGTTTTTGAAACATCTGATCTCATAATTAACATCTTTAGAGAAGATTCAACCATCCAATCAGAGAAGAAAGCAAACAAATAAATAACAAAAAAAAAATATTTTTTAATTATTGAAAGCCGCCCAACAGAAAATTCATGGAATCACAGGGAACAGGGAAAAGTATAAAGGAACTAAAATAATATCCTCAAGGCTCCATTTTCAATCCAGATGATCAATGATTCCTATGCAAAATCAACATTTAAAAAAATAATTTAACTTTAACATCAACGTGCAGTAACAATAAACAGACAAAACAATTCATTAAAATATTTCAATTAATGTTTAAAAAAAACAATTCAATAAAATAAAAACAAAAAGGTTGAGGAGATAAAAAGGAAAATAAACTAACCATACAAGTGATTGAAGAAGAGCTGAGTAGCACCAGTGGATTTGACAACCTCCAGAAGAGAAGAGACACTATCAGTAGATCTCTTTGTGATGAGACAAGTTCCAAGACTCCTGAGAGAGGAATCAAGATGAGC